TTCAATAGTATACATAGTAATAGAATCTAGAGCAATACTCTTACTCTACGATGTAAAAACCAAAATGTATATATAGTTCTCATGGACGTCAATAAAAATACAGAAATTAATTGCGTACAATTCTTCTCCAAGTAACATAACTCTTGTAAAATGAAATAATTGTGTACAATTCTTTCATCCCATAGTATAGCTTTGTTAAAAGATTGAAACGATTAACGGTTAGGTCCTTTGATCCAGAAAAGGTATTATTATTGATTAAATGGCATACTGATTGATAGTAAAACGCATTGTGTAGAATAGTTTAAGGCTTTCTCTAGAAAAAGCAATTATTATTGTTAAATATTGTTAAAAGACGTAAATGTCACTTAAAACTAAAGAAACTCGACTCTCCCAAATTCTCTTATCTAAACACAAATCCTCGTAAAACCTCTCTAATATTACCAAATCTGACAATATCCATAGATATTAGCACAGGAATTAGATAACGAATAAGTACAAATCAGTCTATATACTTTCTCCCCCCTCAATTGTTGTAGGTAAAATTGTTGATTACGCCTAATTATGATTCACTTGCAACAGTGTTTAAAGCTGACTAGGATGCGCTAGCGCACAGTTAGCTAGCTGATTCAGTCGAGCTAATTTCTTTGATGCGGTGCAAGTCAATTTCTGAAAAATTTCTAAATTAGTAAACTTATCATTTTCATTATAAAAAGCTATTTATGATTCAAATTAACGTGTTATATAGTTATTTATAGTTTAATTTACGTATTACAATATATTAGTGATAGTTAAATCAAAAATCATTCACGCGTTTTTTTCTAATGAAAAATCTAAAACTGCCTTTATTAATTATGATGGTGAAACAGCGCGATGAAAATGACAACCAACTAAAAATACCACTCTTACAGAAATATGGCAACCAAATAATGAAATTGCTCTTCCCAAAACTCCATCATCTTGTTCTATTTTTACAAATCCATATCCAAATTTATCTCGCTCACCTACTCCTAACAATCAAGCATCGAGTTCATCAAGTTCTAGCAATCAAGCATCGAGTTCATCAAGTTCTAGCAATCAAGCATCGAGTTCATCAAGTTCTAGCAATCAAGCATCAAGTTCATCAAGTTCTAGCAATCAAGCATCAAGTTCATTTGCTTTTAGTAATCAAGTATTAAATAGCAATCAAACATCAAATTCATCAAGCATTCCTATAAAGAGAGTCAATTCATTCACAAATAAAGAGAGTTGGATACGATTATATTTTAAAGAGAACCGAATTATAAAAAAAGTTATTTGTCAGCTAACTATTAAAAATTCGCAAAATAATGAAGATATTCCTTGTCCTATTACTTATAAACTTACCACTTCAACAACAAATTTGACAAATCATCTAAGAATGAAATATCAAATATATCCTCCTGTGAGCTTAGTAATCGCAAATAACTCAGCACAAAGAACAATTAGATAAATGTTTGAACCTACAACTCCCTTATCATGTTCCAAACAAGAAAAAATACTTTTTCGACTTATTGCTTGGCTTGTTGATGATATGCAACCATTTTATGCAATCGAAAATAAAAAATTTCAAGAATTAATTTACAAATGTGAGCCCCATTTTGAATTTCCCTGTAATAATACAATAAAAAATAAAATCAGACAATCAGTATCCTATACTATGACACAACTAAATAGATTAATAAATGAAACAATGACAAAATTTTCTTTCACTACCGATTTATGAACAGCACATCATACTCCGTATATTAGAGTAACAATACATTGGCTCTCTGTGGATTTTGTACTGTATCAAGCTCTTTTAACAATTGAAAAACTTCCATACTCTCATACAAGTGATCATATTGAAGATAATCTTCGAAATCTATTTGAACAATGGGAAATATTTCAAAAACTCTTTGTAAGTGTAACAGATAATGCTTCTTCAATGAAGCGAGCAATGTGACAACTTGGATGCGATCATATAGGATGTACGACACACACTTTTCAGCTTGCAGTTAATGATGGACTTGAGTTAATAAAGCATGAACTAATAAAAAAAGCAAAGAATTTGAATAATTTTCTTGTAAATTATGATAAATATCGAGATAGATTTAGAAAAATACAGCAAGATATTATAAATCGAACAAATAGTCAAAATCTTCAAATCTCACAACACAAACCCCTCGATCCTATTGGTAATGATAGCAAAACTCATTGAAATTCAACATTAATTTTATTAGAATGACTCTTATTACTCTGTGAAGCAATTTTTGAACACCAACTTTAGTTATTACGCGATTTAGATCATCAAGTACGAGTAGATGATGGAGTTTTAAATAATTTGATATTATCAAATTATGATTGGGAATGTCTAAATGAATTAGTAATTCTACTTAAGTCTTTTGTTGTTGCAACTACTCTAATAGGTGAAAGTCAATATCCGACACTTTCACAAATGTTTCCCACTCTTCACAAACTTTCTCGTCACTTAGATGCAATGAATTCAATAATTATTCATCCAGAAATCTGGATAGTTTTGAAAAAAATACATGAATCATTGACAAAAAGATGGGAAAATCCAAAGATTCTTGGTTATATCACGTCATTCTTGGATCCAAGATTTAAAAATATGTCATTTACATCAGAGGAAAAATATTGAAAAATTAAAGGAAAAAGTTACAGAAGACATAACCAATACTCCAGAACTCTCCAATATTTTAACACAAACTTCTTACCTACAGGATCAATTTTTTATGTCATTATTTTATGATGATTTTAATACTACAACAATCGCTACTGAAACACCAATTGAGTCAGAACTTCGTATTTATCAAAGCATGCCAGGACTTCCAAAATATGAAGTAACCCATCCACTATATGTAATTCGTATAAGTGGTGGGATGATCATAAAACAACACTTCCTTTACTTGCTGAACAAGCAAGAATTTACCTTGCAATTCTGGCCTCTTCAGTTCCTGCTGAGTGTCTTTTTAGTGATGCTGGTAATATTTTAACTGATAAAAGAAAGCAGCTTGATCCTACAAATGTGCATGACCTTCTTTTTCTTAAAGAAAATTCAGCTTTTATGAATGTATTTCTGGGATTACTTGAGCAAAAATGAATTAATATTAATAATAATATATAATAATAATAATGTAATAACGATAATATATCATAAGGAAATTCACATAACCACAACTCAGCCAGCTAGTCGATATAAAAAATTCTGACTCAGTCGCGCCAGTATTTTGTTGCCAGCTTGAAACACTATTTCTGATATCTCATTTCATTTAGTCGCTGTCTTTCTAGTTTAAGACTCTTCTTGATTTCTTCATTTGTTTTAGGATATTCTAAAGTGCGGTAATACTGAAAATGCAAAACATTCGGTTTCCACTTCTCATCGTTGATATCGGTAAAGCAGATAGAGTCGATAAAGTCGAAAAATTCCTTGGCAGATGGTCTGTTTTCAGGAATAGTATCCCAACATTTTTCAATAATAAATTTGCACCATCTAGGGACATTATTTGGTATCATAGGTCATACTGTTGCGTACTACTATTTTAATCGGTCAAAGAGGGGTTTTTACGCAACTGGGATGAGAGCTAGACTGAATTATTTACGAGTAAAGG